AAAGAGGGGTATGGTAATATAACACTGAAATGGCTTCCAGTCTGAACCAATCAATAAGCGAGAAAAAGCAAGCCATCCAATCACAAAGTGTTTTTGAGAGACAGCCGAAAATATTTGATATATCGGGTGTAATACGTTACCTCACATCTACATTCCTGATGGACGCATTATTTTGGTTTATTGTCAGGTGATGATCAAGCAAACACTGCATTTRATACGACTGTTAGGAACAATCCAGAGAAACTAAAACCCTACATGCCTGATAGTCGATGCAGTAAGTATTTCTTAACCTTTCTTGTAGAATTCTCTTTTAAAATTCAACGAATTCTCATCTTGAAACACAAAACAAACGCGTAACGTCCGCCATGTTGATATATTAAGCAAATGCTGCAACCCAACACGGCGCCTTTTTTTATTTCATTCTGTTGTGAAGACCTATAACTGTTGAGTGTCGTAAGGGGGACGAAAATAGGTATCTACTTGACGACAGCAGCAGCAGTAGCCATGACAACGCCGTTTGTCTCATTTTGATGTAAAGGCACGGCTGCCTTTCAAGATGGCGCTGTGAAGCAATATTTTTTTCACAAGTTTATAAATTAATAGTTTATTTGTTCCTGATATTATCTATTGCATTTTTAGATCATTCTCAAGGACTACATGTTCATTTATTGCTTTTGACCACCGCTGTCTTAGTTTGTATTGCTGCAGTTTTTTAAATAGGTAAATCTATATTAATCTATAAATTGAAGCAGTTTCTTAAATAGGTAAATCTAGAAAATTAATGTAACTCACAACATATATATACTTCACCAACCTACCCGCACTAACTCACATGGTAACACACACACACACTGCACCATCTTGAGTAAAATCACGCGTAAGGTCACGTGTCGATCACGCGACAGACCACGTGATCAGTCACGTGATCAGTCATCACACGTATTAACATCTCGTGGTGGGTTGCATTTCAAGATGTATTGTAATAGTTATCTTAATAATTCATCTAGGATTTGATGGTTTGTGTAGTTAGTAGTTAGAGCGCTCACTATGTTATTCCCTTGATTTAGTTGGTCCCCTTTGTGGGATTCAGCATATTTATCCTTCGTCCATTTTCCACTTCCCTTTCATTCCTTTCTTTCCCCCCAATCTTTATTTTTAGTTTCTTTTCCTTTCCTTTCCCTTGCCTTTCATTTTCCATCCTTTCTCTCTCCATCTCTTTCCCTCATAGACCAGTATCCAGAGTAAAAACATCTCATGCTGGGTACTTTCTTTTATTAGTACTTCTAATCAGCTAGGATCTCTAGTATTTCATAAACTTCAAACCAGCTAGTGACACAATATCAGGAATAGACTCTACTAGCTTATGCAAATTACTCCTTCTTTCCCCGCAGTGGGAGGTGAGGGGACAATAAATGGTGCAGCTCAATAGACCTCCTCGGCTAGGGCGTAATGTTTTCCCATTTCAGACCACGTGTTATTCCCTTGAAAGCAAGATTCTTTGGTTGAGTTGTATCCATATTCATGTGTCTTCTCACGTGCAACCGAACGCAACCATTGAACAAAGAAATGATGCTCTAGGGAATGACACTTGGTCTGAAATGGAAAAAAAAATGCGCCCAAGCAGAGGAGGTTTATAGACCATCCTTAGAGAATTAATTCAGTTTGTGCACTTATTCAACATGTGCTAGATTTGTAACCTTGACCCAATGAAACACACTATTCTACGTGACCTTTTATCTATCCTACAGCTACTAGTGCTAGGGTTCCAGGCCTGTTAACGAGGCCGCGTCAAGTTGGGTCTAGGAAATAATAATGGTAACCAATGGTAACCACACAGTGTATATCAAATCTTTTATAAATTCATGAAATCTAAAGGTAAACGTTTTAAAATTAAAATGACGAAACAAATAAAAATATTTTCAGTTTCGAGAGAAACAGTTCAAAACTTTCATCCACGCTACGCTTACTAGAGTACTACAACTCCCAAGATGCAAATTGTGCTATTTAATAACTCTCTCAACGTCCGGGGTTCCTTTGGTGCATTGCTATCGATTCTTGGTTATGACGTTTAACATGACGTCGCCACATGGGTGGCCATGTTGGCGTACAAGGTGCATCCTCCAACATGGCTACTGTTTGTTGTTATATTCACTCAGTGGTTACAGACCAAGATAGATTTTACTTTTCTTACCTAATTCCCTTCCCCCTCCCCCACCTAATAAAGTATAAGTAAGAGTTTTCGGCAAAGTGTATTTTCATGCAGCATTCCGCTGTCTCGCAGAATCTTATAATATTAATGTTCAGTCGTGGTGTAGATAGGACTTGGATTGGAGCTTGGATTGGACTATGGAGCCAAATCTGAAACAAAAAAAAGATATAAAAGTTAAAAGAAATCTAGACTCTTACTCATTGGAAGTGCAACAAAAAATCTGACTGGTACAACAATTACCGAGGATAGCCTGGGGAGAGCTTTTATATACCACGTGGTTTCTTTGACCAATCATAGACAAGAATGCTCTTACCTTTGCAAGACCAAGAGACTCTCTGGTTCCAGTTTGTTCCGCCATCATTTGAAGAATGCACTCCATGTGCAGTCCCTAAAATCAAGAGGAAAACCCTGTCAGCAGAAAATCATGGATTTTCGACGCGCTAGACCTATTGCATGTGACGTCAAAGCAGATCAATTTGAAGGACAACATGGATTGGAAAAAACGAGGATTGGAAACCTATTGTTATGTTCTCCAAATTGAGCTGCATTCCGACGTTCTGCAAGGAATCTATTCCAGGGTTTCAATCAGTTGGTAAATGCCACTATCTGCCTGGAATGGTGGTCGAACACTGACTGACCATTATGTGCTGACAACCAGATTGAACTTGTGATTCCGTCAATGAACAGGAAAGCACTTAAACCAAGCAATTTCTCTTTTACCCGATCTTTGGAAAATCAGTTTTGAGGCCTAAAAACTAATTTCCAAAGCGCAAATGCTGCATATAGTTATAGCCTATTGATTGCGTAACTATTATCTGAGGGCCATGCACCAATAGAGCGGCGTACCAAACTAGCAAAAGATGTTCAACATCTAGCTCTGTTCAGCGAGCCAATCAAAGGCTCGGGGATTTGATTGGATCTGATTGGTCGATAGTGGAGAAAAAGCAAAGAAGAGCACGTGTTTCAAGATACAGTTAACGCGAACAAGGGGTTAGTCTAATTGATTGGTATCCCAATTTCAACTACCGACTTCATTTCTATTGCAAACTTGCCAATGAGCTGGTACAAAATCCACACGAGACTGGAAATGACGTTTATTGATCCCAACATATAGACAAATAGTCCCGCAGTCCAATCCACAGGGGGCCCAATTTAGATAAAAGTGAATGGCTCCCTGCGGTCCAATCTATCTGCCAAAATTTACCCAAACGTTTACAAATCAAATCATTTTGAATAATTCTTACATCCCCAGGTGATTCCTCCAGCGTTGGCGGCCAGCCTGTCTGCTGTCAGGGGAGTTGAGGTCGTGGTGTCTGTCACAACAAGGTGGTCAGCAGATACAGCCATTACTGCCCCACTCACAGCTTTCTTAGACGTGAATTCTTCGCTGCTTATCACATCCCACGCCTTGTTGATGTCTGTACCGCTGCGAAATTTGAGTTTTCCATCGCTTCCTCCGACGCCGTACAGACTGTCAGTCGTGGGGTCGTAGTGGGAGATGTGCTTGATGGAGAAATGAAGAGCTGTGGGGAAAAAAAATGCGATGTAGAGTAGGCTTTTTATTGGACAATGTAGGTCATGTGACCAAGTAACGTATCATTACCTTTCCATGACAGGCCATCGCTTGAGTAGTGGCAGCTCGACTCGACAGTTTTCCTGTTTTGAAAACAAATGACGTCATATTGAGATAATCCAGACGTGTAACGTGATTGATTAACATGCGCCATATTGGAGGGCAAATGTAATACTCTAGTACTCCAACATGACGTAGGCGATCACATGACTCGTGCCTATGCTTCGTACTATACCTGTCCATCCCAGTGTTGCAGACGAAGATGTCGTTAAGCCGCGGGATCAGAGAGCGATTTGGAATGTCTGTGGGCACTAGAAAAGAAATCAGCGACACTGTTAAAAACCAATGTGTCTAGAATGGTCATATATATGGACTGTATAGCGGCTGCCAGGGGCGCCTTCACATGCTTTCAGTTCGATCCCGTTGAGCTGCGCCACTGCTGTACTGGTGGTTGCGCGATTATAATACTGTAGAAGACAGACAGATTCTTCACTACCCATGCATGATATATATATTAGCTATTAGGAAAGTACTTGTGTCTTACCAGCGGGTGCAGACGAGGTAGCAACACAACCATAGACCTCCAGCTTCAGTGCAATCTCGTTCTCAAAGTCCACAGGAACCAAACGAAGGTACTTGGCCTCGACATCGAACGGTAAGGGAACAATGGTTGACTTCTCGCACCCCTTGTTGGCTGAGAATACCTGTAATATAAAATGAAACCACTCGCATTGGCTATCACTAGATATTGCTTTAATTTGTTTGGCTATAATTTTCAATGATTTATTTGTGCCGCTGATTTTGATCAGAGGGAGCCAGCAGACAACTATACTCACACATGCGCAATGGAGAAAACAGCTAAGTTGGTAAGTGGATGTGCTCCGATATAATAAAAGAGCCGGGTATCATTCTCCTAAGCTTTTTGGATTTCTCGAGACACGTGGCCTTTATCTTAAAATGACTTTAAAATGGAGCACTTATCTCTGTCTGTGTGTGTGTGACCACCAATTTTAATTTTAAGACACCAATGGTCTGACTAAAATGTTTTCAGCTGACCTTCACTTTGCTTCCTTCTTTGACAGCATTCCAGAAAGCACCGTTCTCGCTGTAGTACAGTTTGAAGGCCTTGACAAAAGCATCTGTGCTATTACCAAACACGTCACATAGTCCCTTTGTCACGAGTCGGCGAATTTGGAGCCTTGAAGTAAAATTGGCCTGCAAGTACTGTCTGCGATCTTTCCTGTGAGCAAGTAACAAGGTAAAGTAGTACGTTAGACAGGACGCTTACTCGCCCATGACATTATAGTGTGGTTTCTTGCGCGCGGCAACCATGTTTTAGGACAAAGTATGCAATAGAATTTTTCTCCTTTGGGAAATGAAATCTCTTGTCATTTAGAAATATCGTATTGTTCCTGTCCTCCAACATGGTGGTCGTGAAACCCCTATATGTTGACACTGTGGTACTTGCTTACTTGAAAGCGTTGCTTGGCTTCCACGCTCCAGGGCCATTGAGTTTGGCGTGGTGTGGTTCGTTGCCAGCAGAATATGATGAAGCAGAAAATGCGCCACCAGTAAGGCCAATAGCACTATCACAGGTAGAAACTACAAACAAACAGAATAAAAAATATGAAAATATATCTATCCACGTAAGCCATATAACATGAAAATACAAAATGACGGACCATCTTTTGCGCAAAAAGTTTTACAGCTATGCAAACTTCAAGGATAATTTACAATTGGTTTCTATAGCAATAGTAAATGATGCTACATGGTATGCATGAGTTACTATAGTAACAAGCAATAAATATATTGATAAATGATAATGATAAATATATCGTAAACATAGCTTGCAATAGTAACCACAAAAGACCTAGGGGGTATTACCATTAGGGGTAGCACATGGCGTAACATAACCATTACGTAACACATGACATAATTACGGGTCGTCATAGCAAAACCAAATGACATAAAGGTTACCATAGTAACAATGACTGACGTACAAGGTCTGTAGATGACGCTTGTGGTTGTCAAGGAGCTGGTTTCACTGAATTCCTTGTTGGGGCTGGTACAGAGTGGAGAAGATCCATTTGCAGATACATCAACATAGAATGTCACGTACTGCAGTTCTCGTCCTGTTTTTGGCTGAGAAGTGTCCAGCGTGACTGTCAGGTTAAAATTGATCTCCTGTGTAAAGTTTATTGCGCCAGTCTGAAACAAAAAACAATGAAGAAGGATTTGCTATCAGTGTTGTAGACTGTTGCTTTAAGGGTTATCTTTCTGTACGTCTGATAGGGTGGTTGTCGTCGATTATTATACTCCTATATAGGGGTCAGCTATCAACTGGAGAACACGACCCGGTAGACCGAGATAAATGGGGTTGAAGCGTGGATCTCCCGGGGATAAAGACAATGAAAGACTATGAAACTGTCTACACGTTCACTTTGTGTCTTAGACAATATTAATGTAGCTTGCAGAACCGTGACCACTTCAAGCATGTCTTTCAAAGCTGGTTGTCCGGGTAAAAGATTTGTTCAACATCGTTACTGACCTCAAAGATGAGCTCCGAGCCTGATGAAGCAGTTTTGGTGACATCAACGGATCCCGTGTTTTTCTGGAATGACGAATACTGTACGTTCTTTGGAGGTTCGATAATGATTCTTGATTTTTCCACGTGAGCGGATGTCTTTGCGCAGTCGTGATAGGCTCTCACTTGCAGGATCATTGGAGACCTTGAACCACATTTAATGAAAAGATTGAATAATGATGACAGAGAACTATGGATTTGGGGAATAAGATGAAAATTTGACCCTTTGGATCAAGAGCTTTTCAAGGTGAATGAGAATATCAGGTTGAGTCAAGTTTGAAAGAGCGGGACTGGAATTAACCCATTGCCAATTGGTGAATCTGCTGTTTATAGTGTGACTGTAAGGCGATTATCTTCAACTAGTTGCTAACATTAACACTGGCTTACCCGGCATCCATCACATCAGCACCTGGAGATGACACACTGACATGGAGGACAGGCTGTGGTACAGCGATGTTCATGGTACGTATGGCCTGCTGGGCTGCGAAGATGGACTGGTTAGCATACTCTGTACCGATACTAACCCATACTGACTGACCATGAGTGAAACTGGGATGATCTAGTAACTGAAACTATATAATGATACAGGAAGAGATCGGGTGAGTGGTGTCTTAGTCTACGTCCCTTTACCCTGTCCCGTTTGGCTAATTACTGCCCGGTCACCCACTCGTTGTCAATGGTAACGGACATTGATTGACAGGCAGTGCAGTATGTACAGACGGCCTGACTGAATGGACAGGCGGATGGACAGACACAGACAGACAGACACAAACAGACAGACACAGACAGACAGACACAGACAGACATAGACAGACAGACAGACAGAATGACTGACTGACTGAGCAACTGACCTACCTTGACCCCAATAGCCATATCACATGTACTTGGTACAGCAACGTTCCCAAGGTCAATAGTAGCTTCATCATTGATATCAGGGTTATTGACTCTTGAACCCAACACAGCGTTAGAACTCCCAGTAAACTGACCACAAGTCGATGATTTCAAGGTTGTTTCTTTGATCTTCAGGAAAGCAGCAGATTGATTGAACGGCGACTTGACACTGATTTTGATAGGAGTATCCGATGTTAGTGTCATCTGGAGCGACAAGTCCAGGCATCGTCCAGGGTACTGCCAATCACTGGTCTTGAGCAAATTGAATTGGAAACCGTAGACCTGGGATTCAATTAGAATATGAAGAAAATAACATCTGAACAAACAGCTGGAAAAAATCCTTCGATAGCGAATTGACAACTCCAAGCCACTATCTCGTCTTTTCAGCACCTGTCTCATTTCCTTCAACCAGGTATTGGCCACCTCAGGAGGTAAGTCTCCCTCTCCCTCCCATCCTACTTTTACATCCTCCTTTCACGTTGTTATTTTTGAACTTGTCTAGTTATTCTATTCTCTGCTTTTTTCTATTATTATTTAACCATAGTTTTTCTTATTGTTCACTCCAAGAACAATATATACAAGGGAAGTCATCTAGGGACATCACAATTCTCTATTTTAATAGATTCTAAAGCAAAATAACTTAATATACACAAATAAAAGAATGAATATTGAAATATTGACCGTCATAGCGATAGACCAACAGCTACGAACCCCGAAAAATCGAAAATAATAATAATAATAATAATAAAAAGGAATTAAAAAATTTAACTCAATACTAAAACTATCCACGAAAAACGAATCATGAAATCTAAAAGAAATTACTACTCTGAAGATGCCATTAGTTTCTTTACGTTCAAGTAAAAAAGAAGAAAAAAAAAAAAAAGAAAGAAAGAAAGAAAGAAAAGAAAAAAAAAATTCCAAATTTGGATTAAATAAATTTGACTGACTTAACTCTGAGGGTTTTTAAGGCGCCCAACAAAGCGAGGCCCCACACGGAGAGAGATTTTAGCTATAAAGCTACAAAGTGATGACACGAAATGTGTACTCAAAGTAGTACCAAAGGAATAAGGATGCGTCAAAAAGAAACGAACTCGCTGAAAAAAAGAGTTTTTTWAAAATATTTGTCAGCTTGAAAAAGTTTACAACGAACCATCTCGAAATTGCTAATGAAGTAAGCCGTGGTGTTACTTAGTTTTCATCAAATATGAATGTCACAAAGACTTTATGAGAAAGTTTTTTTTGGATTTTTTTATTGGTAAAAAAAAAAAAAAAAAAAAAAATGCGTTGATTAGTGTCGACATAAATTCAATAGCTTTTTTGGAAGACTTAACTGATTATCTTTAACACAAAACGGAAAAAAATCAAAGAAAAAAAATAAGATAATAAACGCTAATCGCATTCCCGAGTTTGAAATTTTTGTTACTTTTATTTCTTTTAATTTTTTGATGCGGTTTTCGATTCTTTATTCGAGTTTTCCTCCTATAGAAACATAAAATTCCTCCCATCTTGTTTGGCGCGCATAATTGATAAGCCTTTCGAAAACTTTTGAAAATACCTTCCAATTAACTTTCAGAAAAAATATATCAAAGGACAACGGATAAAATTGCATCTTTAAAATACCAAGTTCCTTATTTTCGTGGTTAAGATAAGCAGTTTTTATCTTTTTGATAAGAAAGAGTAGGAAATTTAGTTATGAAAACTCAACTCGCTGTCACTTCGAGATCTGTGCGTAACCCTTATTATTCGCCATTCAGAAAGATTTTTTAAAGTAAAAGAAAAATATAAGAGTGACCTACCTTGACCGATAGAAATCCTTGTAGAGCCAGGATTACAGCTATTAAGATGTTTTTCATCGTGATGTTCGAGAATGAAGGAACACTCACTTCTCTTACACCTGTACTTCCCGCTCAACTAAGTGTTCTTAACAACCGAGCTACCAAGGTTGCTGTCAAGTCTCCTCTCTTTAATATTTAATAACTTTAAGAAAGCAAACTTAAATGAAGTTAACTGAATACTAAAGTTGTCCAATCCTGGCCGATATCTTAATATTATACACCTTTGGTCCAATTTAATGCCATCGATTCTTGCCATACATTTATTAATTTTTGGCCCGACAGAATCGTCACAATTTTTTTTTTTTTGACTGATTTATTTCATGATAAAGTTAAAAAATTCAAAATAGCGAATAAAAAAATTAACGTTTGGATATCAATACTATGAAAAAATAACTGACGTCACTACCGATCTTGTATTTACATAACAAAAATAGTGTTTAGATTAATGTAGTATAGTTACTCAACATCGATGATTTTTCTCGGTAAAAAGAAAAAATTGAACGAGGAAAGGAGAAAAAGGTACTGACATATAACGATCGTCCTTCCTTGCGATAAAATATTAGGATATAAAGCAGTGTAATAGTAACGTTTAATGGTTGCCAATTACATCGTAAAGAAAGCTATTTATTACTTTAAACAATTACGCTGCGAGAAACATTCATCCTTTCCCCCTACCTAAATATTATGTCGTTGTTCCCCTAACGACAACCACATCCCTAGACACGTTTATCCCCTCTCATCCATTCCTAAATATTATGTCGTTCTTCCCCTAACGACAACCACATCCCCTCCAACCCATCCCTAAATATTATGTCGTTCCCCCAACAACAACCACATCCCCTCCAACCCATCCCTAAATATTATGTCGTTGTTCCCCTTACAACAACCACATCCCCTCCAACCCATCCCTAAATATTATGTCGTTGTTCCCCCAACAACCACGGCCGAAGACATGTTTATCCCCAGGCCAAACCTTCCCTCAAGATCATCTCATTGTTCCCAATCCCATTCACTTCACAACATTCTACCATTCTCATTTTTATTTTAATATTTTACTTATTTGAATAAATTAGGACTTGTACTTTCTAACGTTTGCTCTGCTATTATACGCCTATACATCTATGTATCTATCTATTATACGCCTATATATCGATGTATCTATCTATTGGTGAATTTAACGTCTACTTTGGCTAAACTAATCTTTAAAAGCAAGCTCTGTAAAAGAAACGAAAGGTTACTCTTTTTGTCAAGAGTAAGCTTAACTCAATCATCTCATGAATAGCCAGCTATTTTCGGCTTGGAAGCCGTTCACATGACGGCAGAACGACCCTTGTTTTATAGGGTCTTTTAGTTTCAGTCCTCCCTAGGAGTATGGTCACGAAGCCTTTCTTCAACACCGCCTCATTTGAACAACCTCTTCGAAACATCAGGTAACAAGTGGCAGTGGTCTAAAATCGGAGTTTTACGACCAATGATTTGTTTCTCTTTTCTAAGTTATCGGAGTTTTTGAATGTGCAAGAACTAACGACAAATACTTACACAGAAAAATGAATTTCCAACAATTTCGAAGATGAATATTTGTATATTTGACTTAAAATTTCGATAAAATGTTAAATATAATGCGAACGACAACGTTAACAAAAAAATCACAAAATGAAAAAATTTCTTTAACAGAAAGAAAAACTAGAATTCTTTCAATCGTCGCATTTTATCCTAAAATTTTAAACGTAGAATGAAAAATGTATAAATCTTAAACTTTGAAACTTCAAGAAAGAAGTACTTTAGTTGACCAATTAAGTGGTCTTAGTTTGCATTTACTTTATTAGGCCTGCTTACTGCTATTGTTGAATATACTCCCTTTTTTTGCATGGTTTTAAAAAGCTTTCATTGTAACCAAACCAAACAAACCTAAGTGATCTCATCCAACACCGCTGAGCTTTTGTTAATGGGTTACCTGTGGAGTGAAATTATGGGATAGGAGCACATGGTCGAGAGCGGAGACAAGGGAGGTTGGCGGGCAAATGGTCGAACCCTTTATGATCTTTTATGACCCTTTATGATCCTTTATGATCCCTTTGATTCCAATTTGGGATCCCTTTTTTTATTGTTGATCAATGTAAATCGATGTAAACAAGAAAAGGTTAAAGTAAAGTTTAAGATTGTTGATCAGAAAGGTGTTATTCGTCGATCAAACCGCTCGCCGAACGCAAACAACGTCACAGCTTTTGTACGACATTTTCAAACTTCCAACAACATTATGAATTCACTTGCACGAAATCAGATGCTTAATTTCATTTTTAAACTTTAAAAAATACTTTCCCAGAACAGATTTGAAATTCAGCAGCAAAATCTAAAACCACTCTTAGCTAGTTATATCAGTTATATTTTAAATCAATGGGCTTTATTTTGAAGTATCTTTTGTTGTTAGCAACGCAATGTCATGTCCTGTGTTAAAAGCGAACATTGTGGAACTCAAATGTCATACATTAAAACTTCAAACAATAGAAAGATTCCAGAAAATTCAATGTTTAAACATTCCTTTGCTTGGCTCACGGGAAGAGCTACAAAGCGCTAGATCTATTTTGTATTCGGATGAAATAGCGTTGCTAACGAGAAGAAACTTCAGCAACTTAGGCTACCCTCTTGGCTTACTTTGATAGATATTTACATCGCCTAACTACAATTCAGAATCACTGAAATAACGAGTAACTTAGAGATTAAATTGTTGATTCGAAGTTGTGTGCGTTTGAACCATTTTCACCGTTTCTAAAACTGCTGTTCTCAGGTTTTCGTCGTTGCCAGATGTCATAGGTACATTTAACATCGGACATGTCAGTGTCTGCTGATGCAAGCTCAGGCTGTGGTCTGACTGGGATGTTAGGGTCAACTTCAGCTGGTTGAAACAATAACAATATTTAAATAACTTGTCTCAATGATATCAAAGGAGTCGAGAGTCTGGTTAAGAAAGTAGAAGGGAAAGTGAATGGGTGGATGAATGGGTGGATGAATGGGTGGAGAGGACTCGGAGCCTAGAGGGTGATAATGGGACAGAGGATGGGTGTTGGTGGGAAGGGGTAGGGGTTGGGGTAGTTTACCCATCTGATTATTTACCCATGTCGAAACACAAGTCATTCCCTTGAGTATCATTTCTTTGTTATGTATCAGTTAACCCTAGATGCATATCAAATGTGAATCTTAGGGCACTTTCCATGAAGTCAAACTGACCAGTCCAAGTGGTCAGTTTTCATGTTAGTTCTTATTAGTTTTAAGACCTTGGCTAACCAATTCTAAACAACTGATGCATACCATTTGAGAACTGGCTGCTTGGACTGGTAGTTTAGACCTGATGGGAAGTGCCCTTATTCTCGTCCCCCCCCC